AACAGTAACAACGGGAAGACCAGAACAAGCCCCTGGTTTACCCGACGGTGTAAGGAGGCAAAAACAAAGTGCAATAGAGAATGGAAAAAGTACAGAAGGCAGAGAACACACGAAAATAGGGAGATCAGTCGCAGAGCCAGGAAATTTGAGTACGCAAGGTAAGGAGGGAGGCCCAGCGACAGTATGAAAATGACATAGCATCGAGAATCAAGATGACCGAAACTGTTGTAAAAGCCACATCAGGAGGAGACAACAGTCAAAGACCAGGTGATCAGATTAGGACAGAAGGTGGAGAACTCACAAGAAATGATCAGGAGGTATGTGAGGAGCTGAACAGGAGATTTAAGGAGTTTTTACAGTAGAGACAGGAGGGCTGTGGAAGACAGCACAGAAGGGAACATCAAGAGGGAATATAACCAACAGTTTTGGATGACATACGAACAACGAGGAGGAGGTGAAGAAGCTCTTTAAGTGACCTTGACACCTCAAAGCGATGGGACCGGACAACATTCTCCCATGGGTCCTCTTAGAGAAGGAGCAGAGATGCTGTGTTGTCCTTTAAACCCACAATCTTCAACACATTCCCTTGAAACTGGGCAACTACCTGAGAAATGGAAGACAGCTAATGTAGTCCCCATATTTAAGAAGGAAAAACGAAACGAGGCACTAAACTACAGACCTGTGTCTCTGACATGTATTGTGTGCAAAGTCATGGAGAAGATTATCAGGAGGGAGAGTGGTCGAACACCTGGAAAGGAACAAGATTATAAATGAAACCAGCATGGGTTCATGGAAGGCAAATCTTGTATCACAAACCTCCCGGAGTTTTATGACAAGGTAACAGAAGTAAGAAAACGAGAGAGAGGGTTGGGTAGGGTTGCGTTTTCCTAGATGCAGGAAGGCCTTTGACACAGTTCCCCACAAGAGATTAGTGCAGAAGCTGGAGGATTTAGGCACACGTAAAAGGAAGGGCACTGCAATGGATAAGGGAATACCCGACAGGGAGGCAGCAAAAGAGTCATGGTACGTGAAGAGGTATCACAGTGGGGCCTGTTACGAGCGGGGGTCCCCCAGGGGTCAGTTCTAGGGGCCAGTGCTATTTTTGATATTTTGTGAACGGACATGATGGAAGGAATAGACTCTGAAGTGTCCCTGTTTGCAGATGACGTGAAGTTGATGAGAAGAATTAAATCGGACGAGGATGAGGCAGGACTGCAAAGAGACCCGGAGAGGCTGGACATGTGGTCCAGTAACTGGCTTCTCGAATTCAATCCAGCCAAATGCAAAGTCATGAAGATTGGGGAGGGGCAAAAAAAGACCGCAGACAGAGTATAGGCTAGGTGGACAAAGACTACAGACCTCACTCAGGGAAAAAGACCTTGGGGTGACCATAACACCAAGCACATCACCGGAGGCACCACATCAACCAAATAACCGCTGCAGCATACGGGCGCCTGGCAAACCTGAGAATAGCGTTCCGATACCTTAATAAGGGGAATCGTTCAAGACACTGTACACTGTGTATGTTAGGCCCATACTGGAGTATGCAGCACCAGTCTGGAACCCACACCTGGTCAAGCACGTCAAGAAGTTAGAGAAAGTACAAAGGTTTGCAACAAGGCTAGTCCCAGAGCTCAAGGGAATGTCATACGAGGAAAGGTTAAGGGAAATCGGACTGACGACACTGGGGACAGAAGGGTCAGGGGAGACATGATAACGACATACAAGATACTGCGGGGAATAGACAAGGTGGACAGAGATAGGATGTTCCAGAGAGGGGACACAGGGACAAGGGGTCAAAACTGGAAGCTGAAGACTGAGACGAGTCACAGGGACGTTAGGAAGTATTTCTTCAGTCATAGAGTTGTCAGGAAGTGGAATAGCCTAGCAAGTGAAGTAGTGGAGGCAGGAACCATACATAGTTTTAAGAAGAGGTATGACAAAGCTCAGGAAGCAGAGAGAGAGAGGATCCAGTAGCGATAAGTGAAGAGGCGGGGCCAGGAGCTGAGTCTCGACCCCTGCAACCACAATTAGGTGAGTACAATTAGGTGAGTACACACACACACACACACACACACACACACACAAACACACACATACAAACACACACATACACACACACACAAACACACACATACACAGGTATGTCTTGATGCTTCCTCTACGTCGCAATACACTTACATGTACAAGCATATACACACCCTTCTGGGTTATCTTCTATTTTTTTTTACTAGTTTTGTTTATTTCCACTTATCTCCATGGGAAAGTGGAACAGAATTCTTCCTCCATAAGCCATGTGTGTTGTAAGAGGCGACTAAAATGCCGGGAGCAAGGGGCTAGTAACCTCTTCTCCTGTATATATTACTAAAGTTAAAATAATGATACACAAAATAATGAAACACAAATAACTCGCACATAGGAGACTGAAACCTTTGACGACGTTTCAGTCTGACTAGATAATGGTCCAAGTCGGACCGAAACATCGTCATAAGTTTGTCTCCTATGTGCGGGATATTTGTGTATTGTCCAATCATGGTATTGTGATGACATTGTGAAGTGTTAATAAGAACTGTGGCAGTGATAACTAGTGGCAGTGTTGTGATAACTAGTGACAGTGATAACTAGTGCAGTGATAACTAGTGACAGTGATAACTAGTGCAGTGATAACTAGTGACAGTGCTTTGGTACACTAGCAGTGACAGTGATATCTAGTGACAGTGTTGTGGTACATTAGCACAGACAGTGATATCTATACACAAATAACCCGCACATAGAAGAGAGGAGCTTACGACGACGTTTCGGTCCGACTTGGATCATTTACAAAGTGACTTTGTGAATGGTCCGAGTCGGACCGAAACGTCGTTGTAAGCTCCTCTCTTCTATGTGCGGGTTATTTGTGTATCGTTCCAGTCACGGTATTGTGCCTTTTTTTGCTATTAACAGTGATATCTAATGACAGTGTTTTGGTACATTAGCAGAGACAGTGATATCTAGTGACAGTGACACAGTGATAACTAGTGACAGTGTTGTGGTACAATAGTAATGACAGAAAACTAGTGACAATGTCGTGGTACACTAGCAGTGACAGTGTTGTGATACATTAGCACAGACAGTGATAACTAGTGACAGTACTCACCTAATTGTGGCTGCATCGGTCGAGTCATAGCTCCTGGTCCTCCTCTTCACTGGCCGCTACTGGGTCACTCTCCCTGAACCATGGGCTTTATCATACCTCTGCTTAAAGCTATGAATGGATCCTGCCTCCGCTACAACGCTTTCCAACCTATTCCACTTCCTGACTACTCTGTGACTGAAGAAATACTTCCTAACATCCCCGTGACTCATCTGTGTATTCAACTTCCAACTGTGTCCCCTTGTTTCTGTGTCCCAACTCTGGAACATTCTGTCTCTGTCCACCTTGTCAATTCCTCTCAGTATTCTATATGTCGTTATCATGCCGTCCCTATCTCTCCTGTCCTCCAGTGTCGTCAGGTCGATTTCCCTTAACCTCTCCTCGTAGGACATACCCCTCAGCTCTGGGACTAGTATTGCTGTTTCTTTACGTGCTTGGCTAGATATGGGTTCCAAACTGGTGTAGCATACTCCAATATGGGCCTAACGTGGTACACTAGCAGAGACAGTGATAACTAGTGGCAGTGTTGTGGTACACTAGCAGAGTGATAACTAGTGACAGTGACACAGTGATAACTAGTGACAGTGTTGTGGTACACTTGTAGAGACAGTGATAACTAGTGACAGTGACACAGTGATAACTAGTGACAGTGACACAGTCATAACTAGTGACAGTGACACAGCCATAACTAATGACAGTGACACAGTGATAACCAGTGACAGTGACACAGTGATAACTAGTGACAGTGACAGAGTGATAACTAGTGACAGTGACACAGTCATAACTAGTGACAGTGACACAGTCATAACTAATGACAGCGACACAGTGATAACTAGTGACAGTGACACAGTGATAACTAGTGACAGTGACACAGTGATAACTAGTGACAGTGACACAGTGATAACTAGTGACAGTGACACAGTCATAACTAATGACAGTGACACAGTGATAACTAGTGACAGTGACACAGTCATAACTAGTGACGGTGAAACAGTCATAACTAATGACAGTGACACAGTGATAACTAGTGACAGTGACACAGTCATAACTAGTGACGGTGACACAGTCATAACTAGTGACGGTGACACAGTCATAACTAATGACAGTGACACAGTGATAACTAGTGACAGTGACACAGTCATAACTAGTGACAGTGACACAGTCATAACTAGTGACAGTGACACAGTCATAACCAGTGACAGTGACACAGTGATAACTAGTGACAGTGACACAGTCATAACTAGTGACGGTGACACAGTCATAACTAATGACAGTGACACAGTGATAACTAGTGACAGTGATACAATGATAACTAGTGACAGTGACACAGTCATAACTAGTGACAGTGACACAGTGATAACCAGTGACAGTGACAGTGGTAACTAGTGACAGTGACACAGTGATAACTAGTGACAGTGACACAGTGATAACTAGTGACAGTGACACAGTGATAACCAGTGACAGTGACACAGTGATAACTAGTGACAGTGACACAGTGATAACCAGTGACAGTGACACAGTGATAACCAGTGACAGTGACACAGTGATAACTAGTGACAGTGTAGTGAGACACTGCTGAGTATTAACAACAGCACTAAAACTGTTGTTCACAACAGTGTCAGCAACTCCAGTGAACTGGAGCCGCTCTCTTCTGCCTTGGATCAAATTTGATTGCTCCAGGCGCTCTGTGACCCCTACTGATTTAGCTGTTAAGCATATCAATAATAATAATTAATAAAAAACAACAATAATAATAAAGTAATAATTATAATTGCAGAATATGATAGGTTTAGGTGGGCTGTGATCGCTGTAACTCGTACAAAGGTCACACAAAGGTATTCATGACCTTGACCTTGGTACATCACAGGTGATGAGGTCAGTGAGGCAGGTGGAGCAGACAGTGTCATGGGTTATGAGGAAGTATGTGAGGTTCCTGGTGGTGGGAGCGCTCACCACCTGCACCATCCTCAACCTGGCTCTCCACGCAGGTACTGGACTACAATACTACTGTCGTCAAGGTCAGTCATACAGAGAGATAGTAGTTACTAGTGTTAGTTACCATTATGTCACAGGCACTTGTCGATTAGACACTTGGCCTGTTGTGTATATGTATGCATGTGTGTGTGTTTGTGTGTATGTGTGTACTCACCTATTTGTACTCACCTAATTGTGGTTACAGTGGTCGATTCATAGGTCCTGGTCCCGCCTCTTTACTGGTCGCCACTAGGTCACTCCGACCCTGCTCCATGAGCTTTATCATACGTCTTCTAAACCTCTGTTTGAATCCTACCTCAAATACATCACTTTCCAGACTATTCCACTTCCTGACTACTCTATGACTGAAGAGATACTTCCTAACATCCCTGTGACTCATCTGAGTCTTTAACTTCCAACTGTGACCCCTTGTTACTGTGTTCCGCCTCTGGAACATCCTGTCTCTATCCACCTTATCGATTCCTCTCAGTATTTTATATGTCGTTATCATATCCACCCTATCTCTCCTGACTTTTAGTGTCGTCAGGTAGATTTCCCTTAACCTCTCCTCATAGGACGAATATTCCCCCTTAGGTCCGGGACTAGTCTTGTTGCGTGAGTGTACTCGCCTAACTGTACTCACCTAATTGTAGTTGCAGGGGTCAAGTCATAGCTCCTGGCTCCGTCCCTTCACTGGTTGCCACTAGGTCCACTCTCTCCCTGCTCCATGAGCTTTATCATATCTCTTCTTAAAGCTATGTATGGATCCTGCCCCCACTACATCACTCCAGACTATTCCACTTCCATTCAGTATTTTATATCTTTATCATGTTCCCCTTTCTCTCTTGTCCTCCAGTGTCGTCAGGTCAATTTCCCTTAACCTCTCCTCATAGGACATGCTCCTTAGCTCTGGGACTAGTTTTGTTGCAAACCTTTGCACCTTTTCTAATTTCTTGACGTGCTTGTCCAGGTGTTGGTTCCAAACTGGTGTTGCATACTCGGGTATGGGCCTGACGTAAACAGTGTGCAAAGTCCTGAACAGTTCCTTTCTGGGGTGTCGGAATGCTGTTCTTAAATGTACTCACCTAGTTGTACTCACCTAGTTGAGGTTGCAAGGGGTCGAGTCCTAGCTCCTGGCCCCGCCTCTTCACTGGTTGCTACTAGGTCACTCTTCCTGAACCGTGAGCTTTATTATACCTCTGCTTGAAGCTATGTATGGATCCTGCCTCCACTATATCGCTTCCCAAACTATTCCACTTCCTGACAACTCTGTGGCTGAAGAAATACTTCCTAACATCCCTGTGATTCATCTGTGTCTTCAACTTCCAACCGTGTCCCCTTGTTGCTGTGTCCCATCTTGGAACATCCTGTCTTTATCCACCTTGTCAATTCCTCTCAGTATTTTGTATGTCGTTATCATGTCCCCCCTATCTCTCCTGTCCTCCAGTGTCGTCAGGTCGATTTCCCTTAACCTCTCCTCGTAGGACATACCCCTCAGCTCTAGAACTAGTCTTGTTGCAAACCTTTGCACTTTCTCTAGTTTCTTTACGTGTGTGTGTGTGTGTGTGTACTCACCTATTTGTACTCACCTATTTGTGGTTGCAGGGGTCGAGTCTTAGCTCCTGGCCCCGCCTCTTCACCGGTTGCTACTGGGCCCTCTCTCTCTCCCCGCTCCATGAGCTTTATCAAACCTCGTCTTAAAACTGTGTATGGTTCCTGCCTCCACTACGTCATTTTCTAGGCTATTCCACTGCCTTACACCTCTATGACTGAAGAAATACTTCCTAATATCTCTCTGACTCATTTGTGTCTTCAACTTCCAATTGTGGCCTCTTGTTTCTGTGTCCCTCCCTGGAACATCCTGTCTTTGTCCACCTTGTCTATTCCCCGCAGTATTTTATATGTCGTTATCATGTCTCCCCTGACCCTCCTGTCCTCCAGTGTCGTCAGGCCGATTTCCCTTAACCTTTCTTCATAAGACATTCCCCTTAGCTCTGGAACTAACCTTGTGGCAAACCTTTGTACTTTCTCTAGTTTCTTGACGTGCTTTATCAAGTGCGGGTTCCAAACAGGTGCTGCATACTCCAGTATGGGCCTGACATACACGGTGTACAGTGTCTTGAACGATTCCTTACTAAGGTATCGGAATGCTGTTCTCAGGTTTGCCAGGCGCCCATATGCTGCAGCAGTTATCTGATTGATGTGTGCTTCTGGAGCCATGCTCGGTGTTATACTCACCCCAAGATCTTTCTCCTTGAGTGAGGTTTGCAGTCTTTGGCCACCTAGCCTTTTACTCTGTCTGTGGTCTTCTGTGCCCTTCCCCTTTCTTCATGACTTTGCATTTGGCAGGATTAAATTCGAGAAGCCATTTGCTGGACCAGGTGTCCAGTCTGTCCAGGTCTCTTTGAAGTCCTGCCTGGTCCTCATCAGATTTAATTCTCCTCATTAACTTCACATCATCTGCAAACAGGGACACTTCTGAGTCTAACCCTTCCATCATGTCGTTCACATACACCAAAATAGCACTGGTCCTAGGACCGACCCCTGTGGGACCCCGCTCGTCACAGGTGCCCACTGTGATACATCATTACGTACCATGACTCGTTGTTGCCTCCCTGTCAGGTATTCTCTGATCCATTGCAGTGCCCTTCCTGTTATATGCGCCTGATGCTCTAGCTTCTGCACTAATCTCTTGTGAGGAACTGTGTCAAAGGCCTTCTTGCAGTCCAAGAAGATGCAATCAAACCCACCCCTCTCTCTCGTGTCTTACTTCTGTTATTTTATCATAAAACTCCAGAAGGTTTGTGACACAGGATTTGCCTTCCGTGAATCCGTGCTGGTTGGCATTTGTACTCTTGTTCAGTTCCAGGTGCTCCACCACTCTCCTCCTGATAATCTTCTTCATAATTTTGCATACTATACACGTCAATGACACAGGTCTATAGTTTAGTGCCTCTTTTCTGTCTCCTTTTTTAAAAATGGGAACTACATTTGCCGTCTTCCATACCTCAGGTAGTTGCCCAGTTTCCAGGGACGTGTTGAAGATTGTGGTAAGTGGCACGCACAACATATCTGCTCCCTCTCTAAGGACCCACGGGGAGATGTTGTCCGGTCCCATTGCCTTTGAGGTATCGATGTCCCTTAGCAGTTTCTTCACCTCCTCCTCATCTGTATGTATGTCGTCCAACACTTGTTGGTGTATTCCTTGCTGGTGTCCCCATCTGGTCTGTCCCCCCAGAGTCCTTCCTGTCTCTACTGTAAATACTTCCTTAAATCTCGTGTTGAGTTCCTCACATACCTCTTGATCGTTTCTTGTGAGTTCTCCACCTTCTTTCCTCAGCCTTATCACCTGGTCCTTGACTGTTGTCTTCCTCCTAATGTGGCTATACAGCAGTTTCGGGTCAGATTTGACTTTCGATGCTATGTCGTTTTCATACTGTCGCTGGGCCTCCCTCCTTATCTGTGTATACTCGTTTCTGGCTCTTCTACTAATCTCCTTGTTTTCCTGGGTCCTATGCCTCCTATACCTTTTCCATTCTCTGTTGCACTTAGTTTTTGCCTCCCTACACCTTCGGGTAAACCAAGGACTCGTTTTGGTCTTCCTATTATTTCTGTTTCCCTTGGGAACAAAACTTTCCTCTGCCTCCTTGCACTTTGTTGCCACATATTCCATCATCTCGTTTACTGATTTTCCTACCATTTCTCTGTCCCACTGAACCTCCTGCAGGAAGTTTCTCATACCTGCGTAGTCCCCCCTTTTATAGTTTGGCCTGTCCCCTTCAGTTCCTGTTACCTTCTCCACTTGTAACTCTACTATATAATCAAAACTCAGAACCACGTGATCGCTAGCTCCAAGGGGCCTCTCGTAAGTGATGTCTTCAATGTCTGAACTGCTCAGGGTGAACACAAGATCCAGTCTTGTGTGTGTGTGTGTGTGTGTGTGTGCGTGTGCGTGTGTGCGTGTGTGCGTGTGTGTGTGTGTGTGTGCGTGTATGTGTGTGTGTGTGTGTGTGTGTGTGTGTATGTGTGTGTGTGTGTGTGTGTGTGTGTGTGGTGTGTGTGTGTGTGTGTGTGTGTGTGTGTGTGTGTGTGTGTGTGTGTGTGTGTGTGTGTGTGACTTTTCCTTACAAACGAATGTTTCAGTAAGTGTTCCTACAGAATGTCTGACGACGTTGTTGAAGGGGCCGGTCACGTCGCTGGACCGGGACGCTATATTCCACATTAGAGACTACTGGGTGGATGAACCAGCGCCCCGGGGGTCCTACAAGGCTGACTTTTCCCTCGATAATCCCCCGTGGGGCTCTATGAACAATTGGAAAGACGCCTACAAATTCATCAATGACTATTTTAAAACATACAAGGTAAAGGAGTCAGTCTCAGTTTATTTTTGGAGACGAAGGTTAAATGGCCACAGCTGGGCTTAATCAGTTATGTAGCAGATATGAGAAACAATAGCTGTCGTAGTCCATAGGAAGTGACGTCACATGCTTAGGTATAAGTACAGCTAATAGTGTAGATGAAGCACTGCTGGAGACCCACTGGCCCACGCTCGATTTAATACAATATATGCTAAGGAAGCAAAGTAAACATCCCATTTTGTTGTTTGATAGAGTTAATTAGTTTATTAACTGATGCTTCAGGGCATCTTCCTTTCTGTTTTTCATCTTACTGGTAAAGTTGTCCTCATGCCAGGAGGTGAGAATGTGAGTTGTGACGCTGTACGCAAGCATTACTGATGTTTGTTCTAAGTGAATGTACCAGTTCCTGTAGACGGACTAATACATTCCTAGGTGCTTTGTTGATATACACCTGTCACAACTACCACACGTAATTCTGTACAGCCCTGCATCTTTGGGTCTGTTGTATGGCGTCCTGGTCTGTGTCAAATTTCATTTTTTTTTGTATTGACTAAACACGGGTTTAGAGCAGGTCGCTCCTGCCTGTCACAGCTACTGGATCACTATAAGTTCTTGGATGTTGTAAAGGATAAACAAAATATAGATGTAGTATACACAGACTTTGCAAAAGCTTTCGACAAGTGTGACCATGGTGTAATAGCGCACAAAATGCGTGATAAAGGAATAACAGGAAAACTCCAGGTAAACTTCCTGACAAACAGAACACAAAGAGTAATAGTAAACAGAGTAAAGTCTGAGGCAGCTACGATGAAAAGCTGTGTTCCACAAGGCACAGTACTCGCTCCCATTCTATTTCTCATCCTCATACCTGACATAGACAGAGATGTAATTCATAGCTCCGTGTCTTCCTTTGCGGATGACACTCGGATTGCCATGACAATGACCTCCATCGAGGACACTGCAAGACTCCAAGCGGACATAAAACGAAATCTTCAAATGGGCCACTTAAAATAATATGAAGTTCAATGAAGAGAAATTTCAACTACTCAAATATGGAAAACTTGACGAAATTAAAATTGCATCAGGGTATACAACAAATTCTAGCTATACAATAGAGCGAAAAAGTAACGTGGGGGACCTGGAAGTGATAATGTCAGAGGATCTCGCCTTCAAAGACCACAACAATGTATCTACCGCATCTGCTAGGAAAATGATAGGATGGATAATGAGAACCTTCAAAACTAGGGATGCCAAGCACATGATGATTCTCTTCAAATCGCTTGTTCTCTCTAGGCTGGAATACTGCTGTACGCTAACTGTCCCCTTCAAGGCAAGAGAAATTGCTTACCAGGAGAATGCACAGAGAACTTTCACGGCACACATAAGTACGCTAAGGCACCTAAATTGCGGGGAACGGTTGAAGGCCCTTGATCTGCATTTCCTGGAGCGCAGACGAGAGAGATACATGATAATATACACTTGGAAAATCCTAGAGGGATTAGTACCAAACTTGCACACGAAAATCATTCCCTATGAAAGCAAAAGACTCGGCAGGAGATACAACATTCCCAGAATGAAAAGCAGGGGTGTCACGAGTACACTGAGAGAAAACACAGTAAGTGCCCGGGGCCCAAGACTGTTCAATTGCCTTCCAGCATACATAAGGGGGATTACCAATAGACCCTCGGCTGTCTTCAAGAAGGCACTGGACAGGCATCTGAAGTCAGTACCTGCCCAACCGGGCTGTGGTTCGTACGTCAGTTTGCGTGCGGCCAACAGTAATAGCCTGGTTGATCAGACCCTGATCCACCACGAGGCCTGGTCTCAGACCGGTCCGCGGGGACTTTGAGCCCCGAAACCCCCTCCAGGTATACTACCACAATATCGATGCTGGATTACTGAAGGATAGGGGATACAATCTGCAATGGCACCTGTGAGTAGTATCTATGTGTTGTGTTCCCGGCTACTGGCGATGTTGCGTATATTACTTTGTGCTTACAGAATTGAATTACGTATTGAAAAAATCATAAAGTTTGTGAAGGCTTTCATGATGTGCTTAAGTTTAGCTTTCAGTAATTCTCAATGACCACAAGAGTGAGATCAATACTCTTGTCTGGTTTTTAAATTATTGTAATAAATGCAATGGATGATGTTTTCCTTGTTGTTAGGTTGACGGTATATTGCTCATCTCAAGAGTCCATCTTGATTAATGAGTCTGATATTGAGGATTGGAAGGATATTTTCCTCCTTGTCTGGGGTTCCGTTCTGTGAAGACGTTCTCGAGGGGAAAAAAAATTTTGGGAACTGACTAGAACAATAAAACCCTAAACTGTCTTTCTGAAAAACCTCAACCATTTTATGCCCTCCTGGAAACGATGCAACAAAAAATATCCTCCCCAGATACTCAAGGGGAAAGATTTACAGAGGGGGGGGGGGGAAAACCCTTTGCAAATCCAGACTTTCTTGTAGTGACTGCCCTTTGGGAAAAAACACATTGGGAGCTAAAGCATGCTTGATTAAATAAAAAAAATTTAAAGGGATGTATAGGGGATTTTAAAAGTGGATTTTTTTGGGTTCTGAAAATCTTTAAATGACCTGGTCACTAGGTGCCCAAAGAAACAGAGAAGCCAACCTTCAAGCTGGCTCTCCCCTCCAAAAATGGCCAGCTTGGATGTGATTTTTTTGATTTACAAGTTTGGCCATCGATAAATTCCCAACCCTCGGGGAAACCCCGACTTTTTATTTTGGAATTTTTTTAAAGGGCCCCAAAACCCTGTTTTTTAATCAATTTAATTTATTTTTTTTCCAACAAAAAACAGCCAATAAAAACAGAAGCATGAATTATAAATGGGATCACCCCATAGTGCTGTTCTGTCTGGAAAAACCTTTTTCCAAAAAAAACATCTAAAAGCTAAAGTTTTGAGAAAACGAAAACCCACGAGCCCAAAAACCGACCCCCCGGTACATAGACGAAATTCAAATTTTTCGGGGGCCCCGGCCCCCGGTTCAATTTGAATAATCCCAAGAGTTTTTGACCAATTTTAAAAAAAAACCATCCTACCATTAAACCCGGGAAAGGGAGGCAAATGTTTCCCTTTTTTCCATGCCCCACACCCACCATTAACCCAAGTGGACTTTTTAAACGCCCCAATATCCCCTTTCCGCCTCTAACAAAGGAAACCCCTTAAATCAATTTCTTTTATACCCAAGTTTAAAAAAGGACAGGAGTTTTGGTTTGGGTTTCCCATGGGGGGACATATTGAGAATTGCAATAAAGAAATTTTTGGGGGAAGGGGAAAACATAGCGCGTAAAACCCAGAAAGGGGCCTTCACAAGCCTCAAGTTTACCCTACATTTTTTCTAATCAGTAATTCAGGAGAGGTATAAACAAACGCCAGGAAAAAAAAAACCCAACACACGAATTCCAATCCCCATTTGGCACCATCGAAAGAAAAATTAAATTTTCCCCCATCTTTCAGAAATTCATATTGACTTTGGGGTTTAATCACTACAAAAGCCCCGTGGGGATTTCATATAAACCCCGAACTAAAAATCTGGGGCCCCAAGATAAAAAAGGGCTGTGCAAATTACGTGTAGGGGGGTTGTGTACAGTTTTGTAGGGGTGGGGGCCATCTACAGAAACGCAAATATGCTCTTAGAAATCCAACATAAAACAACATTTGTGTACAGAATCCCAACTTAAATTTACACCTTATGACAAAAAAAAAAAAAGGCTGAACAACGAAATTACCGGGAACAAGACAAACAAAAAAGGCACCTGAAGTGTCGGTTTTTAAAACAAACCCAACAAAAAAAACAAAACACCGGAATGTTTACAGGGGCCTCTTCGAAAATGTTTCCCGCTTTAAACCCCTGGGCATAGATCAAAAGGCCTCCTAAAGGTGTTTAAATCGGGCACTCCACTATTTTTTCCCTCACACGTAAAAAATTACGCCCCCCCCCGTTTTGTAAGTCAGTTTTCATATGTTAAGTCCCTTGATAAATCCCCCAAACGCTGGGCGAAACAAAAAGGGGGGGAAAAATAAAGAATTTTAAACTTTTGGGGCCCTTCTTCTTAGTTTTTTTTTTCCCTTTATTTTTTAGGAGCACTAAAACTACTTCGGGGCCCATCCGGGATCCAATCCCCCCTTTTTTTTTTTTATCTTTTCCCCATTAACTTCATTTTCACAAACAAAAATAAAATTATAACTCCCCCCCTTTTATTCAGCCCTCCCCCAGAGGGAAATTCTGGGGATCAACCCCCCCCCGGGGGCCCGGCCCCATGCCCCAGGCCCCCCCGGTGGATCAGGCCCTATCAACGGGTTGTTACTGCTGGCCACATGTAGTCCAACGAAACGAACCACAGCCCGGCGATCCGGCACTGACTTTATGAATCTGTCCAGCCCCCTTTTTAAAGACAACCAGGAGCCAAAAGGGTAATTCCCCTTATGGCTGGTGGGGGGCTTTGAACAATCGGGCCCCAGACATTTTATTGGGTTTTTTTTTAGTGTACTAAGGGGCGACCTACTTTTCATTTGGGGTTTTACGTTGAAGTTAACATAAACTTAAAAAACTATTGAGCTCTTTAATTCACCTTTTTTCTTTTTCCCTTTTTTTAAAGTCGACTGATTTTTTTTAAAAAGGGGGCCCGGGGGATTAAATAGTTATCTGACGAAAAAACCCCAGAATTATTACCCAATAAATAGCAACCAAAGTATTTTCAAAAACATTACTTCCATCGCAATTTATTTCCTACTAACTGCAAAAATAAATGCCCTCAATAAATGTTTTTTCCAACTAACAGCGTCAAAATTTTTTTAAATTTCCCTTTTCTCATAAAAAAAAACTTCCCCAAATTACGTTTTAAAAAATATTATAAGGGAAAGTCGCAAAATTTCCGAAAAATTTTAAGCAGGACTAAAATTTTTAAAAAGTATCGGGTTTTTTGACCGGGGAAAGGGGGAGGGAAGTTCCAATTTTTTAAAGCAATCACATTTTTTTCC